GGGGGGGGGGGCAAAGCGCTGATAACAATGGATCTGTAGGCTCTTCAAACAAGCCGGCCCAACCCAAATCCATGCCCTCTTCCATGGGTGTCTGATTATAAGGTTATCCCACCATCCCTCAGCTGCAGTAATTGGATTAGTCGCAGAGATTTATGAAAATTAACTTCGGCAAATGCTGTACGAAAACTCGTCGTATACTTTTCAAAAAATAAATTACAGCGCAGTGTGGGAACAACAAGCTTCTTTTTTTTTCTGGTGGCGGGGTTGAAGTCAGCGGTAGCAGCTCGCAGCTGGAGACGGAGGCTGGGCCCGGGACGGCGTCTACCCACAGGTGAGGCCTGCTCGCTGGGCCAGCCTGGGTGCCAGGTGGCCTCACTGCCAGCAGGCTGGGCCAGCTCTAATCAAGGATGTGGAGCCCAACTGGAGCCGCCAACATCTGCTCCCCTTGAACCTGGGTGGCTGAAGGCAACGCTCTGCTCAGTGTGCGCGGAAGAGGAGTGACCTTGAGGAGAGGCACATTTAAAGAGACCAGACACTTCATATGAAGGAGGTTAATGGAATGAATGGAGACCAAAGAAGTGCTTCAAAAGACATTTCAACAATGGCATCTGTGTGTGACATTAAATGGGCAGTGCACTCTCTGAGTATAAATGTTGCTGTTGTACCACTGTCAGTGTCAACCCTTCATCAATGCTGACATTTGCTCGTATCCTTTGTCTTAACCATCAGATTGTTCAGCCCTCGGTTCGGTGTGGCAGTCTGCTGAGCAGCAATCAAGAGTGTTGGCATTGTGTAAGTGAGAAATGATTGACAGCGTGCCATGGTGTTCCCATTTATTTCTTCTCCGGAGCTGTTTTCTGTCAGAACGACTATTGATTTTTCCATAAAGTAAGAAAACAAGTACCGTTTAGGGGCTAGGGAGGTCAGCACAAATTAAACCAGAAGATGTAAAGCCTTCTGTCTGTCCCAATACACATTACTCCAAATGTCTTCTTCTTCTTCTTCTACAGGTTTTATAGATCAACAGATAATGAGATCAGCAAAGGAAGTACCCTGTGAGGAGCATGAGTAGACGTGGACAATGGGAACTCCAAGGCTCAAGACTGTTAATGAATATTATATTAAAACAACTGAAGTGCACTTCCCATTAATTCTGTCTATTTATCAGTTCATTAAACATGTCATGTATTTAATGCAGAAACACTATTTATACATTCTGAAAAAAAAATATATATATTTAAAGTAGGATCATCCTTAAAAGCCACCACAGAGACAGCTTCATCCCGCAGGCAATAAGACTGTTAAACAACTGAACTGCTGAAACAATCTCATAACATTCATCTGCTACTTAGTAATTATTTATCTATTATCATTCCAATAACTTGTATATAGACTCGTATTGCACTATTCCACTTTTTTTTCCCACACTTTTTTAAAACTATTTTTCTTTTTGTAATATTGTGTATACTTATCTGTATTATTGTGTTGCATTGTTGGAGAAGCCTGTGACCTAAGATTTTCAATGACATAATTACTCTGTAGCTATGTTAGTTTGACAATAAAGAACCTTGAACCTTGATCCAAACTGAATGATATTTAATCATTGTAGCTTCTTACATCTTATCTAAAGCACTTTACAATACACTTATCGTTAAAAGCTGCTATAAAATTGAAGGGATTTGGGTTGTAGACTGCTGCTTTGGCAAAAAAAGACAAATGAAACCATTTCTTTTTAGCTTTACCATTGTTCAAAAGACTAAATTGTTGTTTTGTTATATTAGAAAAAGCATGGACTAGGTGACAGCTAAATATAATTGTTACATTGAGTCTTTTTCATTCTACAATATATTTGAATGTTTGCTTCACTGTATTAACAAACTCTGTGCTGCCTGTTACAGACACATTTAGTTTCGCTAAATAAAATGCACACAAGACGGTGCAGTCTGGGACACTGGGACAGAAAGGAATTCATTTCAAAACAAATCAATACCACACCAAGTCACTTATTTATTTGTGACAATATTGCTGGAAAGGAAATAATGAGCTGGCAGATGCCCGGAGGCATAACTATCAAAGATCCCTCCCTGGTGATCATTCCAGCTATAGGAGATGAGGATGAAGAGACTATCATTCATTTTTAATGTCAACTCAATACTTTAAAGTGGAGTGATATGATTGTGATACTTTTTTCTGGTTTGGTTGAGGACATGCTGAATATTGACAAGTGGCTCGATGAAGACAGGCAGCATAGATCATCTTAAATGTCGCCATGTTTAATTGCTCCTGTCTGATAGTAGTTATGCCCATGACTTTTATGTTATGGGTTTAACTGCCTTGGTAACTTTCCATTTAAAGGGTAAAAAGGGCTTTTGGAGTTTTGAGCTCCTTTTTCAGAATGGTTTTAATCCTGACTTTTGAAACAATGACAGGGTTAACATTTGGCTTGTGGCAGTACGGTAAATTAAATGTCGGCTTCTGAAAACTGGATTTGCTTCTTTTTCACAAATGATTAACCTAGAAAAAATGATCTAATCTTAAATGGATGGCGACTTTTGACTGGAGCTACTGTAGGAAACATAATGAATGTAACATTACCCTTCAGACATGTTCTCATCTGCAGCATCTCTGTGTTCCTTGGCCATCTTCCTCTTCCAGCACTCCTTCCCCATCAGCCGGGCTCCTTCAGTCGGCCGGTCTGCTGCCACCCAACTTCCAGACCTTTTCTTGGATCCCGCCAGATGTTGCATCCTGGACGGCTTCTGTCTTCTTTTCCCATCTACACTGGAAACCTTTAACTTCTGCTGCAACCTAACCGTGACGTCTGAGGTCATACGTTTGACCTTCCTCCTCCTCCTGAGCTGGCGTCCTGGATTATTCTCGGTGAAGGAGTCGGACTCTGGCCAGGAAGGCTGCCTATTCCTGACCGGGCCTCTCATTACGGAGCGCCATCGGTTGGTGGGGGTCACGTCGTCAGAGTCACTGCAGTTGGCCACAGATGCGGCGATGGAGGAGGAAGACTTCTCTCTGTGTCCTTTAGTTTCGTCTAAGCTGGACTCCGAGGCCTCGATCCAGCAGCGTCTGTGCTGCAGCGGATAGAGGGAAGATTGACGGTAGCGTCTGTGGCCTCTGCTGCGGCGGATCTGCCGGCGCTGGTGCAGCGGACTCAGGACCATTTCCTGCCACAGCTCTCCCAGCTTGCTTTGCTCTGAGGTCTGCTCCAGAGCCGACACCAGGTCCTGCACCAGCTCATCCATCATGGTGCTGGAAAACAAAGATACAAGACAGAGTAAACACAGAGAGCTTAACACCATGGATGATGCTACATCAAAATATGATACGTCAAGAGTAGTTGGACATACAGCAGCCAAGACAATAAACAAAAGCTGAACGTGAAGCCAATGCTGTAGTGCCTAAAGTGAACAATTCTATAGTTCATTTTCCTTGGTACCATGTTAACTTGATAGACAGATGTCTCCAAGTATTACACTCTGTTGTGATGCTAAAGCGAGAAAATGTGGTATGTTGGCTCCAATACATTTAGAAATGTAATAAAGACATTACAGACTGAGACCTTGTTAAAATATCAGTTTTATGTGCAGGTTGCCAAAAGTGATAGTCAAATCCAACATTTCCAAAAACAGAAATTAGTTTGACAAGGATGTGAAACCATGTGATACATTATCTTCAAAAATGTTGTGACTGCTTTCACTATAACAGTTTATTGCAGTATTTACATTGTTTTATGTAAATGATTGATCTTAATTTATCAGTTATCATATGATTTTATAGATAAGCCAAGAATTTCCAAGAAAATATGAATATACCGTTGTTATCAAAATACCTTTAAAAATAGACTGTTGAATCCATAAATAAAAACAGCGGTTACTTTCAATTAAAGATTGGACTCATATAATAACTGAGCACTGATACAATATATTGAAATGCAACTGATCATTGGAGTTGACGCATTCCATGCTACCATTTACAGCTGTGGATGTAGTCTCTCACATTGCTAAAACAAATAGACATAGAATGAAAGGCGTTATAGTGGCTTTTTAAAAAAACGATAGAATATACGCAGGCCTTTCCTAAGGTCTGACACTGTAGGAGCAAGGACACAGTGTGTAACCTTTGTTTGTTTGATTGCAGCTGTGTTAAAATGAAAGCTTTGAGCATCTGCACATCATTATTAGCTACGAAATTAAAACACCCCCTTCATAACAAGGTAAGAACGTGACTGAAGCTGTACAGCATCAGTGCACCAAAACAATAGCAGACGTGCTAGACTGTGTTACATAACAACAGCTAACACGTGAGCTCAGCACAGCCACACATCTTCCGTTAAATCAGCGAAACGAAACGATTAACAGCGATTTACTCAGTCACCGTGTCTTAAAACGACTCCTAGCCGCTATTATGATGTCATGATTTGATATGCAGATGGCTGTGTTTGAGCACTCACCAGTCGCAGCTTGCCTTGTTTTGTTTTCAGCACAGCTGGGAAACAGACGCACTTCCGGTCTGCTGTCCAGCCAATCAGGTGTCTCCGCTTGTAGTGACTCTAAACAGCCCGCCACACTGTCCAAGCTTCTCATAAAAAGCCTGTGGTTTATGCAGATAAGAAGCAGAAAGTCAGCCTGCTAAACTGCAGATATAACATTTACCTTTACTAGTTATCACCGTAACACTCCTATACAGGGGCGGTTCTAGGAGGGAGGGGGGGGGGAGCAGTGCCCCCCTAACACTGACTTTGGACCCCCCTGTGGCCCCCCTGAAAATGAAAAAAAAAAGTTTATGATTAAACGATTTCGGAATAGGTGGAACTAACGCTATTTGTCATTCTAGTCCAGGGGTGGGGAACCTTTTTCCTCTCAAGGGCCATTTACATTTTTTCAACATCCTCCGAGGGCCGTACAAATTATTGACCTCTGCTTAAAAATACTAAAATCACAGCCCATTCATTACTTCTTACCATGACTCGCGCATGCATGCACGGTTGTGGCATGACCACCAAAACAGAAATATATGGACACAAGATATGTGCGAATATTTAGTTTCCTATCCATGTGAACATGATTTAAGTAGGGGGGGGGACCTACCCTCCTCTAGGGGGGTGCGGGGGGCATGCTCCCCGGGGAAGATTTTTTTTTAAATGTTGAAGTTAAATGCATCAATCTGGTGCACTTTGAGAGTAAAGTTAGGGACTAAATCTATGGATACATCTCTCAACACCCATATGAAACAGAACTTTAAACAGATTGACTTTTTCTTTCAACATTTAGGTACCCACACTATACAAGATAATTGAGCCAGTGGGTATGGTGCGCAAGCGTTGTCAGACGACTCAAAAAAACCGCCGGCACGGAGGACGTTGCCGTATAAAGACTATAATAGGAAGAGGACATTATTACGAACTAAGCCAAATTGTCTTGAGCCTAGTGTTGGGACTCGAGGAGCTAACCAGCGTGCCAGTCACGAACGTCGAGCCAAATGATCGGGACTGTTGGTGATCGACGAGCCCGTCCAATCGGCCGTGTCGGCGTATTCTCTTACCTCTACTAATCGGGTCTGGTGTCAGGGCGATTTTTTTCTTGTCCGGAAGCATCTGGGCGGCGTGGGTGTCTGTTGTTTTTTTTGGTGTGTTGTTTGTTTGCTCTTGGGGCCTTTGGGCTCAAAAGCGGACTGTCATTCCGGCCGATCTGCGCTTTTAGGAGCCGAAGCATCATCGGGATTCATGTGAGGCGACGTTTGACTATCCGTTTAGAGAAACAACAGTCATTTTGTACTAAATGGGGTTTCTCCGCCCCCACACCACCTTTATTCCCCCTGTCTCCGACCGACGCATCTGCTACGTCCTTACAGATCGGGCAGTAGTCGGTTTGCCTGAGCAGCGAAGTGCACTGCGAGACCTCCGGCTTTGTTGCAGGGTAACCGAGCATTTTGAAAAGACGAAGAACACCAAAGGAAAAGAGGAGGAGGTGCGAAGGAACCAAACTCCCTCGATATGCGAACCCTTTGCTGCGTCACTCCTGCGTTGCCTAGCGAAATTCGGCTTCCTCTCCCGGGAGTCAAACTGGGCGGGCTGCTCAAGAGGGGGAGGGTGGGAACAACAACTTTCTAGGAATGTTGATCCGGGAGGGTTCTACGATTGGTGGTGCTAGAGGCCATGGCGGCACCGCGCGAGGAAGTAGCGACGTGCGTGACGTGTGTGGTATGTCCGGTTGGGGTTTGCGGTACGGCCGTGGCGGGATTGGGGATGGTGGTGAGAGGGAGGGGCAGCTGCCTCGCTTCAGCTTTGAGGGCTGCACCTCCGCGTGTGACTCCGAGGGGGTAGGACAGTCGTGACCTCCCTCATTCGGGGTCATGCGCCGCGAAACCCGTCTTGAGGGGACGGAGAGGCCGGTCTGTTTTTTGTTCTCTTTTTTTTTTTTTACGGCATTTTTGGAGCATAGCATGGTGCTGGTTGGCTAAAGTTTACGTCGTTAGAGAAACTGGTTTTTAGCATGAAATTATTCGGGTTATCGGTTTTGAGCTTGTATAAGTATGGTCACAATAGAAAAGAAATTTTGAGAAAATCAAAAGTTGTGGCTACGAAATGATTTCGGGGGGCGTGCTGTCCGGTGTCCGTATTGCTGGAGGTGAGAATCGAAAAACCGTTGTCAGACATTTATTTGTGTGGTGAAAATTATATTTATCGTGGTTCAAATGAAAAAGATGTCGAATTCGTGTGTGCATAGCTAGGATTAACTTTGCATTACTAAAATTAGTCCTTAACAATTGCTTGTAGCATTCAAAGTAGTCCCCTTACAAACGACCTGTCGAGGAACGATTTAGTCGAACAAGGACTTGCGTCTGTCGGTGTCGCCTGAGCGCCAGTCCATCTCTGGGGCGCAGAGGTTCAATGTCTTGTTTTTTTTTTATTTGTGTGCGCGTCTGTGGGGCAACTCCGAACTTATCGGGTGGAGGGGTGGAGGTGTTGGCGAGAGGTGAAGCAACCAAACCTTGTCGGGCGGTGAATGTTAGCCGCCTGGAGGCACACCTTGACGCGTTTGCTCCCATTCCCGACATCCGGCCATCCAAACCCTTTTTTGTCTGTCCCTAGGAACTCCCGAATCTTATCGGTTGGGGGGGATGGTTTTTGTGGCAGGTTTGCTGCACCAAACCTTGTCCTGATTTATTTACACCACCGTTGCGGAGGTCGCGCTTTGCGCGTTGCCTCCCCTCTTCCACATTTCCCCCCCCCAAACCCTAATCCTGTTGTAAACCGAGACGGTTGTGTGTGTACGTCTCACTTACTGTGTCTCTTGGGGTCTTCATCCGGCTGAACATCTCTCGTATAATAAATGCTTAAGTTATTCCAGCGTAATTACTTTAAAGTGGGTGTTTTTTGCCTTTTTCTGTGTTAAATAACCCCCACAAATCCCCCACGATCCGATGGATTCCCCTCGACGCGGGGGATCGCCGGCGATACTATTCTTTTGCATACGTATCCGATGTCAATGACCATAAACATAAAGTTCTGTCGATGAAAGAGTAGTCGATGAGTCAATGTCAAAGTGCGAGATTGACTCTAGACGACCCCTTTGGGACCGGGGGCCCATACCGCCGGCGCTCTTGTTACAATGCGGAGCTCCATTATATTTGCGTCGTTTTTTCTTTTTGTAAATTCTTGACTCTGTGTTATTTAATTTGTTCCGCTCACGCCTGGACAAAAAGACCGTTCCAGTCCCAGGAAGACTTGGTTTGCTTGTTTGGGTCGGTTCCGAGGTTTGCACCATCTGTACAGAGCAGACTGCCCCACCTCAGCCGCCCTCTCGGTCTTTGCATACGAGACGTGAAGTCTATCCTCGACATGGTACGGCCGTCAAAAACCACCGACAAATCAACATCCGTCCCGCGAGACAAGTAGACAGATGCATTTATTGAAACAACAATCATGTAGACCAATCGATCGCTACGATTGCTTATCTTCGAAAAAGAGGTTTGGTCACCCATTGTCCGTTTAGAACATATACTAGAATATGCAGTATTTTTATTCTCTTATTTTCATTCCCAAGTTCTTTGATATACTTCGGTTTCCAACAATAATATTCTTTCTTATGCAAAAACTTCCCT